ACGCTGTAAACTATATTCAAATTTACAAAACAACCGTATTTTGCATTAACCAGCATACAACTGAGCAGTGGTTCTCAACTGGTGGGTCGCGCACCAAAAGTGGGTCACGAACTCGTTTCGATGGGCCGCGATGTGTGAATGAAAAAAAAAATGTTGGGGAAAAAGTCAAACTTTATTTTGAAGGCCCCGATTTTCTAACCGCTGGTGCCATGCAGTCGCGTTGACCGGAGACCATAGAAAGGTTTTGAAAAGCTTCTGTCACGTATGATCCTATCTTCTCATAAAATATCTTTGGCTGATGTTTTTCAGAATCAAGATTGTTGCCGGAAGTCCCCACGGACGAATAACTTTGCGGTAGAACTCTTCTTTATCATCCATTGGGTAACAACTTCAGATAAAAATGAAACACAGTAATGAAATATGACCCCGGTTTGATGTTGACAGCGTCACAGAAATTGGGAGCTATCTACCCTTACCCACAATTTAAAGTAAGTCACACAGACTATCATCCTCTTTACTCCTCCTTGTGCAAGATGTCAGAAACAAGTGAAAAACAAACAATGGCAATAAAATATTATTAATATGTCGGGTAGTAATAAATGTATTTATTTTCTTCTCAGAGTGTACCAGAATGCATAGTTTATGTTAGTATTTCAAAAAATCTCCTGGGGGAGAATCACCCCAGACCCCCTGCTGGGGTTGGGTTTTCAGCATGAGTGCCTTTCTATATAGTTCAGCTTTGATTCCATCGTCTCATTAAACCTTTTTTAAAAGCATACTTAAGTTCTGTGAAGGGATATATATATAGCGCCATATAGATAGACTGTATAGTTCTATCTATATGGCGCTGTAAGGGATATATGCACTGCACTTCACTTTTATTAATATTGTATGCTGAAAAGCGTATATATATATATATTACAGCACTTTTTTTTGTTGAATAGATTTGAGTGCTTGAAAATGTTGTGTCGCGATTTATTGACCAAGTAAAAAGTGGGTCCCGAGGCCTGACCAGTTGAGAACCACTGCAATAGAGTGTATTAGCTATATGATCCCATGTGTCACGCTAGATGATAAAACCAAAAACGTTATATCAAAAGTGCGACAATATTTAAGTGTTGATTATTGGTGCTTTCAAATTATTACCATAATGCCTTTTTTGCTAAATATTCATAAGTGATGTGAGTAGTATTAGTAATAAGTGGTTTAAGACAAAACGGAAGTTGCGAAAATTACATCACCTGTAATCCAGCCTTGAAACTTAGAATAAGACAATGCCATATTAAGTTATTACGATATCCAAAAATATCACAATATCAATATGACATTGATATATTGCCCAGCCATACATATCCTATTATTTGCAGGATAAAAAGTACACTTTGTCAATTTCTGCTCAAAAACTGCCGTGATAGTGACAAATCTGTATTGACAAAATTACCTGATTTCTCATTTTTGATTTAGGATCGGATGTTTTCTTCCTGCTCGACAGCTTACTCAGCAGCAGAGATCGACTCTTTCACATCACATTACCATTCTGCATGGCTGGCATTTTGTCCAGGCACACCAGCCCATGGCACCGGCAGCAGCAGAACACATCCGTGAGAAAACCTCAATCTCTGTCTCATAGTTTAAAGAGCGGTGTATGCCAGCAGTCATTGATGCTTTGTTCTAAGAGTTATTCTGACTGGTGCCACGCTGTTTGCCCCTTGGAGACATCTTAGAGGACACGGAGGACAGGTTCTCCCTTGGAAGACTCAAAGATATTGGATTAGCTTTGATTCAATCAAATGATGTGGTAAGCTAATTAAAAAGTTATTAAAAAATATTTGGAATTACTTTTCAAAACCACAAAGGACGCTCTCTCCAGCTAGTCTGGGGAACTTCATTCAGACAGCTGCAGTGTTTAAGATTACATTTATTTCTTATCATTTCTGAACAAATGTGCCTTTCAAATTGTAATATTGGATGGATGTTATAGATAATGAACATTTGAAAAATAGGCGCTGCTAAAAATAGAAGGGACATTCATTGCAGCATGTTAACTTCTTATTTTAAAAACCTATAAAAGCATACACTCCAAAAAAAACACTTGCACTTAGAGCCATACATCTTTTTAAAAGTAAAAAAATATATCTGATAAGGGGCTTTCTGGCACTCATGAGGCTTAAGGGATTCCCCAAAAGTGTTTACACTGACAAATACATTGAGTCTCTGAGGAAAACACTAAGAATAGTGTGACACTGATTCATCTTCGCTGACTCACCAATGCGTCAGAGAACTCAGTGACTTAACATCTGGGAAAAGCAGGTGGGAGGAGAGGGAGAGAGATATGTAAAGAGAGAGAAAGAGAGATGTAGAGAGAGAGAGAGAGAGAGAGAGAGAGAGAGAGAGAGAGAGAAAGAAGGCCACATAAGTCTTGGTTTAGAAATAGTCAAAGACTTAAAAGGCCCCATGTCATGGCCATTTCTACTGATCATAATTCCTTGTTGAGGTCTACTAGAATATATTTACATTGTTCAATTTTCCAAACTCACATTGGTTTCTCATACAGCATCTCTGTATAGTATGTGTATTCACTCTCTGTCCTAAACGCCTTGTTGGACCTCCTGCCCCCCCCCTCCCTATGAGCCCACTGTGCTCTGATTGGTCAGCTCGCCCACTCTGTTCTGATGAGTCCACCACCGTTACAGCGGAACATCAGTGATTATGTGTTACAATGGCGTTTGTTAGCAACCAGAAAATGACACCAGTAATGACAAACAGATGAGAATGCTGCGTGGGGTCTGGGTGCCGTGTTGGTGGGACGTTGCGGGGCTCGCTGCTCCGCCCTTTGAGGCTCGAGGGGCGGACAGTGTGAGCCTGATTACTGGTGTCGTTTCCTGGTTGCTGCGTGGGGTCTGCGAGACAGCGAGCTCCGAGCACACACACACACTCAGCCAGGCTGAGATCCGCAGAGCCGCGGCTGAGAAAAGATAAGGCTGAGTGAGTGAGTGAGTGAGTGAGTGAGTGAGTGAGTGAGTGAGTGAGTGAGTGTGTGTGTGGAGCCGTTACATCACTATGACCAGGAAGAAAAAAAATGTAAAAAGAGAAATGTCCAACGAGGCGTTCTGGGGCAGCACAGACACGTCTTTTCTGTGTTAGAGTTTTACTCGCTACAGGGTGTACTTTGAGGGTTTGTGACTCTGCAGACCGTTTACATAAAGAAAAAGCTACATAACACACAAGGGGACGGGTAATAACCGGAAAAGCATGACATGTGACCTTTAAATGACTGCAACAAAGAATTTTGAGCAAATAAAATTCAGCTGATATCATTTAACCTTTCTGCTTGCAGTTTGTATTTATCTTGACTTAAAGCGGCTCACAGCGGGTCGAGTGTAATGGCTTTCGATCAAAGCAGCTAATGATGAACTTAATAAATAGGCTTACTGGATTATTCAAATCTGTTTACAGCCGTAATCCTTTGAAGTTCAAAATGTCACGTAACTCTTTGAGGCCTCTTTAATTTTTCTTGTTGAGCCGACACCCTCGATCCAATATTTCTTCACAGTACGTGATCACAGCATCAAATAGTGATTATTGCTCCCCTTGTTTGTCAGTGTTACACTCCCCGGCATCAGGTCTATTAGCATTGAATATTGAATTTAGCAAATAAAACTTAATTGTGTCAAACCACAGTAATTTGTGGTGAATATCTCATTGTGTGTGATGAATGTCTTTTTGAGAGTCATGCGGTTAGAGTTAATCACATGTATTTAATAGTGTAATTATAGAAGAAATATGCAATAAACTGACTTCTAAATACTCTGACGCTTTAATTGTGGCCCTTTGGGACAAATCCCGATCAGATTATAACCAGGAAAATGAGGCGTGCAACATTAATAATGGTTGCCTGATGTGCATTTGCCCTACATTCCCTATAAGGGCAACCACTAATGATGATGCCAACGTGACTGAAGGATCTACGAGCTCTTATCCGTCCAAGAATGCTTCAACATGTCAAACAAGTCGGATCCAGGCTGCAGTGTCGTATCCATAGGAGGGTTATTATTCATGCCCTACAGAACAGGTTATTCATGCATGGATGAAGTGCATGCTAACTAAAAACATACAATTATATATGGTTATTTTAATAAAGCAAACGACAATATTGTATACCGTGCTTTGATTTACAATATATTTTCAAGTCAACCCCCAGGCCAAAAATAGAGATGGATGCACTTTGACGTGTGACTGCTTGTGTAGATTCAACATGTCAAACTGCAGCTAGAGTAGCTTTCTGTGCTCCACTCTGACCTGTTAACAGCAGCACACTGTGAACCAACACAGCCCCACAGCCTATACATCACACAGGGAAGCATTGGGATTACCAGTATATTAATAACCGCACACATTTTAGCAGAGCATTCTTTCGTAGAGCTAAGTATGCGCTGACGGGGCAAAAAATAATAAAGCATGTTTGTGCTTGTTACTTAATGTGAGCTGAGAAACTGTACTAGTGTATCATCATACGAATCACAGTGACTGGGACTGCACAATTAATTGAAATTCTATGAAATCGCATTGTGGACTACTAAAATATTAAATTTGCAGGAAGCACAATATTAGTTGAAGGCTAAATATGTGTTTTGTGAAGCTGAATAGATATCCCGGCCTACAGACTTAACAAAATACATTAGTTAGGAACAGATACTGTTTCATGTTAATACATTTGTCAATGATAGTTATGATGCAAAATCATCAATCCCTTTAATATCCCAATTCATATCGCAGTGGTTATATCAGTACGAGAACAAAAAAACATAACATTCGCGTTCACACCAAGTACTTTTCCCACAAAGGTTCCTGAGAACTCTTTAGTTCTCATGAACTAAATACAGATCGCGTTCACACCGGAAATTAGTTCCTGGGGGTGGATTAGGCAAATGAAGCCGCTGACGTCACTTCTTCGGCTTTGGGTTTACTGGCAGGCCGCAAACAACTTCACGGCGGATACTGCCGCCCAAAATCCCCGGCCGGAAGTCCCCGGAGTTAGGGACTGGCTTCAGTAGAAGCTGCTGGGAATTCCCAGCAGCTTCTACTGAAGCTTTCTGAGTAAACGGCCAGAACGCCGACACCTCCTCATCTCCACCGCTCCCATGTTTTATTTTGAGTTGTCATAAGTTAGTCTCTCCGCGTTTCTGCGCTGGGCTAATGCTAATGCTAATAATGCATTGCGAGGATAATAAAATGGCGGCTTCACAAAAATGTTTGGGAGTTTGACGGGGCGTGGTTTGCATCCCGCCCAGCCAATCAGACACAGGAACCTTTTTCTCCCACGAAAGTGCCTGCTCTCTAGCAGGGACTGAAAAGGGGGTAAAAAAGGTTCTCTAGAACTAATTTAGTTCTTGGGACTTTTTGGTGTGAACGCAACTAAATCGTAGTTCTCAGGAACCTTTGTGGGAAAAGTACTTGGTGTGAAAGCGCATATATACGCACTTAAAGTGTTCTACATCGATATCACAAGAAAACTTTATGAACACTTTTACATTATTACACTGGGGATTGCAAGCTCAATCTATGTGGGTGACAGTATGTATGTGTCATAAAACAAGGCGAATAGTAACTGCTGCATTGGCACGTTACTAAGCTATCCTGACATGTTCTACAGAAGCAAGGAGATCATGCAAAATGCATCACACATTTAGCATATGATATAAACTATGTTTTAATAGCCAATATAAGGATTTTCATATGTAGATATCACAAAATGAAATGATGCATTCAATTAGGTCTGACGGCTTGGCTCAGTATGCTTTCAGCTAACATGCCAACACTGGAGAGAAAATATTCAGTGGGATACCCCTGAATATATTTGCTGTCAGATAGAAAGAGACAAACAGACACAAACATGGCATGTGTGCGTGAATAAACTTGTAACGCATGAACAGTAGGAGAGATTCTGACTCACTAAAGCAGAGCTTCTCTCTCTGTGAGGCTCAGGCACAGCCTCACAGGCCTCTATCTTCAACGGATTTAACACCTCAGTCCCCCGTCACATTCCTGAGCATATCCAGATAAGTCCCAGGCATTTCACAAAGGGCCAGAACTGCTTTTTAATGCAGCCATGCCACCACAGCGATGCAATTATACGACCGAAGTCCTGTCACTGATACTGAAACTCCATTTCTCTATTTATTTTAGGGTGGTGGAATATAGAAACTGTTGATGTATTTTACAGAGATTTTTAATATCTCTAGTGTTAGAATTTATACACCTTTTATAAAAACCTTTTTCAAATGATCTCTAAATCTGATCGTTGTTTTCCCCACATGAAAGATCAACACTCGAAAATGAACTCAAGATGAGACCACTTTGATCACAGGCAGTGCCAGCCTGTCAGAAGGTTCTCACACTTCATGACGTTCAAATATCATTCTTTACATTTCTTTTTTCAAAGTATATGTTTAGCAATGACTGAAAATGTGGGATTACTTCTTTAAAAAGGAAGACCCCACACAAGAAAATGTAGCAGGTGCCACTTTCTGTATCCATGCCAGGGCTTAACAGCCACACACCAGGAAGTAGCTTGGGAATGTTATAATTACAACAGATAAAGTAAATATGTCGTTCAGCGACCACATAACTTATCAGAGCTCTCAGTCATTAACAGCGGGAAACTATAGATTCAAAATAGTTTCTTTCAGTCTCTTAGCGACAGCTGCTTTCATTCTTACGCCGTGTGTACTCTGCAGAGCAACCTATGTGCAGCTCACACACAATGATAAAGTGATTGCCCTTAAACTAAAGGAAAGTGTTAAATGACTACTTGTCTTAAAGATTGAAATCCTGAATTGACATGTTCTGTCAATAATAGAAACGCTACGATAAATCCCTTACCTTTCAAGGCCTTGGTTTCACTATCTGGAACATGCATGTGCATTCACTAGTTGCTTGATTAAAAATCAATATGAGTTGCTGCTATTTCCTCCATTAAATACATCCATCCCCTCAGCCTCCTCTTTGAGTCGCATCACAACTGATTATTGAAGATCATGACCTTTCAGTCTGGCAGCTGGAAGTAGGACTGGACAAGAATGTGAAGAGGCAAGATAAATTAGTACTCATTTAGAAGGTCACCTGTCCAAACACTGATATTACAAATCAAATTACATCTCAGAGGATGCAAGAGAAGATGAAAACATGTTAGGATTAAGAACTACATTAATGTCTCTGCTCATTTGACCCTCTTTCTTTTGACAATGTAACTGTTGCTATCCAAAGCAACACTGTAACATGGGGGAGTCATCGTCACTAACTGCTTGTTCTCTTTAACTCTCTAGTAGTAATATGACCAATATGTCAGAGACCGGGCTTACGAAGACCAAAGGATCACTGACAAATGAAGGCAGAGGAGCTTTGCTTCTATTTTTAAGGCCTTTGTGTGACTGAATGGTATAGACTGGCTAAATGGAAATACTTTCAATTATTACTGAGAGGCCAGATCGGCTTGCATTGCATGACGTCCACCGTCTTTCTACAAAGCACCTTGAATGAAGACGAAAGAACGTCCACTAAGTGAGCCAGCAGTTAACCTGAATGGCTAATTACAGTGAACACAGATGAAAAACGGGGGGGATTATTGAACGAGACGCTGGTGGATTATGAACGAGTCTACAGTCGTTTCAACTTGAGACTCTCAGTTCTCACGCTTCTGTGATTCGCTCAGGTCCGGTTACATGTAGCTGATACTTGTCCTTGATTGGCCACAGTTTGTTTACTGGGATCATTAAAGATGCAGTCACCTGCACCTATACCAGGACACATGGAAAAGACAATGGCAAAGACAGCTCTCTACTCTAAAGTCATACAAATAAATAGCGGCATCTGACATCACTAAGACATGGCTGCAGGCTTAGTAGTTATCTATATTTAGAATAGTGGTAGAACACATACATTCCAATAGATATAATGACTCTATTGTTATTGCACCACATATATTACAGTACCTAATAAACAAGCAACCCAATACATTAAAATGACAATCATTTAAAAAAAGACAGATAGTGAGATTTAGCATTTCTGAATTTGAATCTTATAATTAAAAAGGACATTATTACAGGAAGAAATATATATATATATATATATATTTGATTTGTCGTAGTCCCTGGTGCAATGACAATTAAGGAATGATTCTTCTTCTAATTGTAGTGGAGTTGCACTACAATTCAATCAAGAAGACTGTATGTATCGATTGGCTCAATCACTAATTATGCAGGACAATTTAAAAGAACGTTAAGGGGAATATATCCACATCCTGATTTGACTAAACAGCCCGCAGAGTGAATGACTGTGTGCTTCTTACAGCGGGGGTCAAGACAAGTGCGTTCCACCACCACACGGTCAAAACAAAGGATGAGCCCGGTGAACAAAGAATGCTGACTCGGCACTATCCTATCATTTGGACTGAAAGAACAACCACTCTCAACAGGAAACAGAGCTACGCGGTGTCCAGTTTCCTGCAAACAGGACAGGGAAAACATATATATCTCTTTATTATGTCCTGCAATGCTCTCTATATGATGTGAGAGCTATTCACATATAACCACCCGTGTTATTTGAGTCCGTTTGTTTATACACCCAATGTAGGTTAAATGCACACCACATGTTTTCTTTGGCATCCGTGTGCTGACTGCCACAAGTTGATTGTGTGTGTCCTAGGCTTCTGCTTGTCTACAGTAAGGAGGTATGTGGGCATAAATAAATGATCCAATCTAGTGCCTGCGTCCATGAGTGTGCACACATGGGTAGATGTGCTGTGTTTGAGTTTGTTGCAGCAACATAAACTGTGTGTCCTTCCTAAATACGGAATGGAAGAGATAAAAGGGAAAGGTCAGGACAAATTCCTTATCTTGTGTAGGCTGTAATACTTATCCTGAGATGTGCCAAATACTAGAAAATAACACTGTGTTAGGGAGGTAATTGCGACTATTCTAGATGCACACTTTAAGATTTTATAAAGAAAATGTATAGACAAATGTTGATTAAGAATATATTGACATGATTGGGAATGTGACCATAAATAGGCATACATGTTAACTGTCTAAAACTGTTTAAATGCCAAAAGAAACTCATCTCATAACCTTTCATTGTCTTTCCAGACTATAATAAATGTGACTCGTATGCAAACACACGAACACCTGCAAGGCCATGGCTCGATAAACCACCCCTGGAGAAAAGTAAATAAAATAATTGATGGATGATATTGATAACTACATTTGATTAAACTAATTAAAAATGTCCACAGTGTAGGAGATGGCAGACACTTTGGAACAGTGCAGTATTGCCATGGCAAATCAACCTCTATGTTGAGAGCTCAAGGTTATTCATGGAGGATGAGCCAGCAGGGACATGTTTGGTCAAAAGGAATTGTTTTTTGTAAATCAATGTTGAAGGTAACTAGAGAACATTGAAGTGAAAGAGCACACAGTTATGGAGAGAAATGTGTGGGTTTTATAACGTTTTTCCGATAGAGGCGAAGTCCCTCCCTTTCCGGTGGACCTCCATGGGACCTTATTTCTGAGAAAGTATGTATTGAAGTCAATGGAGAGAGAAAGATTATCTTTCGATCCCGTTTGAATTGTGCCACAAATTTCACATATGATGTTTGTCAATTGAAAAGATAATTTTGCAAGTCAAAAAAATAAAAATGTGTCGTAAAAATGTGAAGTAACACTTTTTTTTGTGTGAAACCGCTCAATGAACTACATCTGATGTAGTTCATTGAGCGGTTTCACACAAAAAAAAGTGTTACTTCACATTTTTACGACACATTTTTATTTTTTTGACTTGCAAAATTATCTTTTCAATTNCTCCCACATACTCCTTATTTGGTAATGTGTGTGTGTGTGAGACTGACGCATAGCCAAAACCGGAAGCTGTGATAACTCTGGTGGCTACCAGTAGCAGCTAACTTTTACTCTCCGATTTTTACATAAAAATGGAATTATGGATTATAAATAAAAAAATATTATTTCACAGAAACATTATCAACCTATGGATTAACCGATTCTGCCGCATTTTTTCTCGTTTTAATGCCATTGAACAAGTCTTTTGATCAGATTGACAGCTACGGTGAGACGATCTCCCGTAAAAGCTACGTAAAGGTATGTGTTGTGATGTCTGTGTTTGCTTCCCCTGTCGCGAGTTCGGATCACTCAGTGATGATATATATACCTAAATAATCTATGGATCCTCAGCTTTAATCGGATATATTGTATGTGCAGCTACGATAAGTAATAAAGGTATCTTTTATCTTGAGTTCTGTGCCAAAGTGCATTAGCATTTTTCGCTCAGGGGTCATTTAGATGGTTCTTATGAGACTTGTGTTTTGTTTTGGTAAAAATGGTTTGTATCGTCAGTTAGCTGAGCTTATTCCCGTTAATCTGGTATAACACATTAATAGGTTCTTAAATATTAAGATGCCCTGAGACACAGTGTCGCGAAAAGAAAAAAAAAGCCCCCGCCGAGGGGGGCTTTGGGGCCTAACAGGTTAAAGTAGTTGAAATATAATGCTTAACACATCATGTCTTTTCTTGCAGGTTAACCCACTATTTGGGACTATCTATAACAGCATCTACCTGGTGGCCAAGTCCATCCACAATGTCAGGAAGGCAGGAGAGCTGCTGTCAGGAGTCAACCTGGCGTACTTCACAAAGAACACAAACTTCACCGGCTTCAACCAGAGGATCACGGTGGACGCTGCTGGGGACGTTCTGACCAAGTACGTCATCCTGGACTCTAACGGCATTGGGAGCCAGCTCTACCAGACCTTTCTTTTGGACCTTAAGACCAGAGTGCTTAGTTTTGCTGGCAATTCCATTCATTATCCTGGAGGATATCCTCCGCCATCTGATTCAAACTGCTGGTTTGACAAAAACGCACTCTGCACTGGAGGTAAGGGCTTCGCTTTGGCGTGTGTGTGTGTGTGTGTGTGTGTGTGTGTGTGTGTGTGTGTTCATGTGAATGACGTATGGATGTGTGGTTGCTCAAGCCCTTCACAGTTGCATCTGCTCCATGCTTTTCCCCCAACTTCAAGTTACCTGTTGTCATCCCCAGGTGTGGAGGTCACCTACATCATAGTGGTGTTTGCTGTCATCTTGTCTTTGGCTGTTGGAGGGCTCCTTATTGGTCTTTACATCAGGTACATCCTGTAGATAGATATAGGTTCTTCTTTTAAAGCAAACAAGTAGCAGTGTTCCTCTCCTGTGCTTTTCTTCAGCTGCATCCCACACATTTGATATGGAGACAAAAAACAAAAACAAAAGGTAGAGAATCATATTTGGCAAAAGAAAGCAGAATAACCAAAACATCTATAAATACTGTTGAAATCAAATTAACGTATTTTCCAAAAGTGTATTGCTGATAATCCTGGCCCTTATTTAATATCCAAGTACTTTTTGCCGACAGGATACTAGAAGTAGTTCTCACATAAGAAGGTGCATTTATTTTGGTTATCTGTCTTCGCTCTGAAGATAAGAGAATCCTGAGTTAGACTTATGAATCCCGCTACCTCCTTTTCTACCAATTTATTTATCTTTTTCTTGAACAAATTTACAGGAGGAGACTCCAACAAATCCGACTGCTCAAAGGTCCTAATCGGATACTCCTGACTTTAGAAGATCTCACGTTTATCGATCCTCAGCCAAGCAACAAGGTAAGCATCAGCAAATCTCTTTTCCATGTGTTTTCTGCTTTATACTAAGTAGACATATCACATTGAATTAAACGTTTCAGGATGGTACTCATTCCATAAAATATTCCACTGTTGTTTTATTTCCCTCAGAAACTTAATTTAGAAGATCTAGGCGACTCAAAGAGTGCTATAGAGGAGAAATCTGGAGACCGCTCACACTCTGTAAACAGCTTACAGACAACCACTCATGAGACCACCAATGTAGCCGTGTACGAGGTATGTAACACTGAGAGTCATTCCTCCTGCTGCTTCAGCCTGTATGTGGCGTTCTTCTAAAGCTAATGTATGGGCCGTTAACTCTTATAGGACATTCAACAATTACACAACTCTTGCCATGTTTTTAAGACAGTGTAAACCCATTCAACACTTGGTTTTAATGTGTCATTGATTTATGTTTGAATCCATTTTTGATGGAGGTTGAGGTTAGGTTTGACCATTTGTTCTAGGTTAGTGAAGATTTAATTTGGCTTTGGTTTTTGTCCTCTCAAATATTGTGCACGTTTTAAAGTGATTTTAAATCAGGAATTACAACAGTACGTCCCAGATGGATGAATGAACAGGCAGCAGTAAATGTTTGTTTTTCAGTGGTAAATTACATATTTTGTCTAAAAGAATTTAAAACGTTTTGAAGTCAATAAAACCATATTTAAAAAATGTGAAACACTGAAGTGGATCCCACTGCAAACACATGACTTCTCTTCCAGGGCGACTGGGTGTGGCTGAGGAAATTTAAGAAGGGTCAGTTCAAAGAAGTGAAGCAGAGCACCACTAGGATTTTCACAAAGGTAGAGAAGCATGTCCTCACCTAAGTTCCAGGATTAATAAGTGCTGTAGCTAACTATTGTAATACAAAATTCATTCATACTTCTGGATCATTACAACATAATTCCTTATCTGCTTTCTCAGATGAAAGACCTGAGAAACGAGAACGTGAATCCGTTCCTTGGCTTCTTCCTGGACTGCTCTATGTTTGCGGTGGTGACGGAGCACTGCTCCCGGGGCAGTCTGCAGGACCTGCTGAGAAAAGAGGATGTCAAATTAGACTGGATGTTCAAGTCCTCGCTTTTGCTCGACCTCATCAAGGTAAACGCTGATAAACTTCCCCATTGGTTTGTTGACATTTATTCTATGGTTAACCTCATTGTAAAACATGTTGTGCGTCCAGGGTATGAAATACCTTCACCACAAAGAATTCCCCCATGGCAGACTTAAATCTCGTAACTGTGTGGTGGACGGGCGTTTTGTCCTGAAGATTACTGACCATGGCTTCAATGAGCTGCTGGATGCTCAAAAAGCTCCTTTAGAAGAACCTCCACCTGAAGGTATGAAAGAATGCCTCACTGCTATTCATGACTATCCAATATACAACATTAGCCTTTCAAAAGTGCTGTTAAGATGAGGTTGAATGTTTTAACTTATAGAAGGGGCAATGCACATTTGTTGTCCACACACATTCTTCCTCTGCAGTTTCTGGCAGGTTGATGGCATTTACAAAAACATACAAGAGCGCAGTAGCAAAGAAAAAAAACCCAAGTACAATTACTAAACTTAATCAAAGACAAAAACAAATGAGCAAATTGACAGCACAATTGAAAATATATTTTATTTATTTCACTTTGTTCAGTGTATCATGTTTCAAACCTATTTCTTTGTCCATTGTTTTTTCCACAGAGTTATTTTGGACAGCTCCAGAGTTCTTAAGGGACACTGCGAACTCACGCAAAGGCACCTACAAAGGAGACGTGTACAGCTTCTCCATCATCCTTCAGGAGGTGGTGGTCAGAGGGCTTCCATACTGCATGCTGGGTCTGACACCCGAGGGTGCGTATCCATCACGGAAGAGAGAGGACTGTTCATTAGTTTGAGACCAATGAGGTGGAGATTTGAGGAACATTTCATACATTTTTACTACATTCTGATTTGTTCCATGTCTTCTGTCTCCTCACTAGAGATCATCCGTAAGGTGAAGAAGCCCCCGCCCATGTGCCGTCCCACTGTGGCCCCGGACCAGGCTCCTCTGGAGTGTATCCAGCTGATGAAGCAGTGCTGGAGCGAAATGCCAGAGCGCCGACCATCATTTCATGAGATCTTTGACAGGGTACATTTTGATATTGTTTGCACAGTTTAACAATAACACAAACATAAAAGTGTAAAGTGCAGGAAGAGGCAGAAAACACACTGGGCTTATTTGAACCCTCAACCTAAATAATGGTAAATGTCAAGATTGATTATACAAAAAGTAATATGAATTCAATATTAATTGCATATTGTCACTATGAGTTAAACAATACAAAGCAAATACAATTATACGATATTGATAGATGGATTTCAAACACATAGGGAAAAGCAGATACATGTTTTTTTATGTGATTTATTTTGTAAGCCATTTCATAATTAGGTAACCTAATCTATCAATTATTGAAAATGTACCTTGGTAAGTGATACATTTGGGGTGATGAAGATCTGAAGATTGACAAGTTGTGTAAGAATGAATTTTGAACTGCTTAGGATTATTCCCTTCATCAAACTTTTCTTATTTTACGGCCGGTTATTAGAATATAATTTTATGAGTATCATTTAATGTGATTCTGTATTGTTTTTTTATTGCGAGTAGTTCAAGATAATCAACAAGGGGAAGAAGACAAACATAATTGACTCCATGCTGCGGATGCTGGAGCAGTACAGCTCCAACCTGGAGGATCTCATCAGAGAGAGAACAGAAGAGCTGGAGGCGGAAAAACAAAGAACAGAAAAACTGCTGTCCGAGATGCTGCCACCGTGAGTGTATACACACACGAGCATCAGACAACGACATTATGCTCATTTTCAGGTTCATATTAGTATGTTGTGCCTCTACTGGGACATGTTTACATGCTTTAATGTTCAAAAAGCTCTTTATTTTTCTCATACTGCCTGGGCTGCAGCACCTCTTTTCAGCCTCTGTCTGAAACCAGAGCCCAGTCTGCTCTGATTGGTTAGCTCTGTTGTGATTGGTCACCTGCATAGAGATGTCTCGCAGTGTGCTGTCAGTGATGTCACTATGTTCAGGAAGTAAACAAAGGAGTCTCTTTCGATGCATTTTAGAGATCTTACCCTTTGCAAACCATTCACAAAAAATAACAGGAAAGGGAAAACCCCAAAAGCATATTAGGGCCCCTTTGAGATAAAACAACTGACTATCTGTTTCTTGTCACTGTTCTGCCCGTCTTTAGATCTGTTGCCGAGGCCCTGAAGACCGGAGCCACAGTGGAGCCAGAGTACTTCGACCAGGTGACGATCTACTTCAGCGACATCGTAGGTTTCACCACCATCTCCTCGCTCAGTGATCCCATCGAGGTGGTTGACCTTCTGAATGACCTCTACTCTCTGTTTGACGCCGTGCTCAGCAACCATGATGTCTACAAGGTCAGAAAACATGCTCGATATTTATAAGGGTCATTTAAGTGTTAACATGCAATTCAACAGCTTGTGTCTACAGTCCAAACACTGATTCAAAATCTAAGATTTAAAGGTGTTATTGTCAAACGCACAAAAGTTACAGCGTGGTTGTTGGCAATGGAAACTCCCAGGCTTTTCCAACAGTACAACATACAGGACATTCAATAAGACATAAGAGACACAACGATGCAATAAAAATGCAGAAATAAGTAAACTATTTCATTTCAAATATGATGGAGAATGTCAAATAAAATGCTGTACAGTGGAATGAAATACTTTTGATTGTGCTTCAAAGAGCTCAGGAATGTTACAGTCTGACAGTATGTGCCCATAACTGAATAAATATGTTGATAATATCTAGGTGGAGACCATTGGGGATGCTTACATGGTAGCATCTGGTTTGCCCAAAAGAAATGGCAACAAGCACGCTGCTGAGATTGCCAACATGTCCCTGAACATTCTCAGCTCGGTGGGAACCTTCCACATGCGGCACATGCCAAACGTGCCCGTCAGGATACGCATAGGCATCCATTCAGGTGAGATTCTTCACATTGTTATTGTTCTAACACTCGATAAGCAAGTGGGACGAATACATTATCTTCTGATTATCTTTGTTGTGTCTCAGGGCCCTGTGTTGCTGGAGTGGTCGGTCTGACGATGCCTCGGTACTGCCTTTTTGGAGACACCGTCAACACTGCGTCCCGTATGGAATCCACTGGGCTGCGTGAGTTTCCTGAGCACACATTTAGTTGTGTGGTTTCATGTTTTGTAATAGTCTAATAACTTCTTCCCTCCTCTTTGTCCCTCAGCTTATAGAATCCATGTTAACGTGAACACTGTGAAAATCCTCCATTCTCTAAATGAAGGTTATAAAATAGATGTGAGAGGCAAGACAGAGCTGAAGGTATCGTGACATTTTACAAATATGTAACCTCAGTATTTGGTATGTGGACAAATATTTTGAAGGAGACCTATAAATCCATGTTTTCTCGTTTGTTTGTTTTTTAGGGTAAAGGTATTGAAGAGACATACTGGCTTGTAGGGAAAACAAACTTTACAAAGCCTTTGCCAAGTCCGCCAGAGATCAAACCGGGGTAAGACATTCAAATGTTGTTACTGTTGTACTGTTGTGTTTGGCTTGATTCTAAGATAATAAATAAATGTATACAAAATCCCACAATGATTACCTGTCCCCAAGTTGAAATGGCCAATTTGGATGTTACGTTTCATTAATGTTATCAATCCATAACTGCCTGCTGCCTATGATACACTTTCCATGATGCAAATGATAACTATCTGAATGTTACTTCAGGGAAGACAGCCACGGTCTGAACCCTGAGGATATAGCTGAGTACAAGAGAAAGAAAGCTGAGAAAAAGGCTTGACTCTCTCGGTCCAAAAACAGGAGGTTAGAGACCTGCATGGCAGCCGGTGTTGTGTTGTGGAAATGTGGCTGTGTCAGTTTGATGTGACCAGAAATGACGCCTGAGTCTGACCTCTCTCATTTATTCTGTGCTGTATTAGTCTCAATAATCTCTTGATCTTATCACCTTCTACATCTTCTTAAGCAGATTGGGGGAAAGCCCTCTTTGTTTGTTTCACTCGTTTTTACTGTGACTAACTCATTTACTCTACTGTGTTTTTCTGTTTCTTGTGGCATGCCTTCAAGTGTCTCTGTAAAACCCAATATCGGTCTTAACTCCACCGTCTGCATCTCCTAGGGACAACTGGCAGGAAATGGTGACTGAGGAGATCAAGACTCTTTTTCGCGAGGCCAACAGGCAGGTGGATAAAAAGACCTGAAAGAAAGGAAGAGAAGGAAAGATGTGACAAAGGAAGGAAACCAGAGGAATGATAGACAGAAGGACACATCCTGAGGAATAGAGAGCTGGAGCACCCAGGCTCTCACTGTGGCTTAGTGCAGACTTGTTTAAGAGGATTGTCCGAGGACTGGCTAATCCACCTGCAGCCAGCACAGCAGAACATTACGGTGCTAATGTAATGAGAGTCGTCCTTCGCATTACCTGTCTACGTACCAGCTGCAGCGCGGGGAAGGTGAACCGCTCCTTAGTGAAGGATGCACTTATTCACTCACCGGCCACTGGGTGGTCACCTATTTCACCCATCAGAAGATTGAATGCCCCAAACGCCTGTTTCAAAATGAAATGTAATTTTTTTCTGGGGGTAATATCTTTTTTTGTTTGCCACGAAAAGCTCATAATAGAGTTGTGGAGCTGAGGATGTTACTTTGTTGTGGCCAGGTTTAAGTTATCAGACGTTTGAGACAATGGCTGCTATTATATGATCATCAAAAGAGAGAATATTTAAAACACTCATCATACAACAATATATTTCTACTAGGATTGAGAAAGATGAAAAGGAATATTAAGAATGAAACACTAAAATAGAGCTTTAACCTTTTTTTACACTGATGAAAGTGTGACTCAGTAATGACAATGCAACAAACATATTCTTCTTTCATATAGATTTATAAGAAATACAGTTTTCAGGTCCTTTAGTGATATGTATCGCTATTCTGTCACATGTGGTTCATCCTAACTCTCTTTGAACCAATGACACACTACTGTGCTTAATCTAAATCGTTCTCTCTTATTTTAATGATGAAATATGAGTCTGGGTTTGCATTTTCCAAAGATATTTTCAGTGAAGTTCATGAATATATTGAACAAACACAACACACAAGGTTAGTACTTCTCTTCATAATGTACATTTGCGACTCCATGCATTTCCAAAGGTTGCATTTTGCAGAGTAAATACAAACAAACACATTTATCTCATAAACATAGCAAAAACAGGCATACTCACCTGTTGCCTTTTTATTGTGCATAAATGGATTGATTGGTGAATAACTGCAAGCACCAACGTGTCTGTACACTTAACAGCTGTGTATGTATCAATATAGGAAAGAACGCAGCATAGGAAAGTATGTTGGAAGTCAAATCAATGTCTATTTATATAGCACCAAATCATAAAAGAAGACCTAGACCGTAAACGTTTGCATTACAATTGCAAAGAAGTGACATCAAGTTATATCTCTGTGTTCAATGAAGAGAAGTGTGTTTATTGTGAGGCTGATGATGTGCTAATTGTTGTGCAAATCTGGGCTACAGCTTTTCTCTTTGAATGTCTATATCAATGATTGTCTGTCAGTTCATTGTGTTGGCAATACAAACTAGGGTTACAGATTGTAACCCAAGTTCTTTAAGCAGGTATGATACATTTAAAGATTTTCATAACGATGCAAGATGTGTCTGAAAGTTGTGCAGCCGCTGAAGAGCCCCATCTAGTGTTCAACATTACGATTTCTAAGGGGCATTAAGTGGATTTGAATGCTTCCGAGTAAACAATATTAATCAATATGCAATTTATCAAAAAAGGACATATAGGTTTATTATAAGGGACTACCAGAGGATGCACATATAACATCATTTCAACCTAAAAAGATAATTATAATGAAATGTATTATTTGATAGAAATGTTTTTGAAAAAGCCCTAAATATTGAGTCAGCGCTGTATCAAATTAGTCTTTTTTTTTTTAAATAACTTAAAATCTGTGTATGTCAACATCTTAATATTGGTAATATAAGCATGTTTTATTCATGTTTTGGTGTTCAAAACAACAACAGTCAGTCTGAAATATGTATATTGTGTAATTTATGTTATTAATACATTTATGAGAATATGACTTCATATAATAATTAAATGATTCATTCGTAACACCTTGTTGTTTGGCTTTCTTTACATTGTAGCCAGTTAGCGCTACAGCTCTCATCTTGGTATTCAAGGTATATTTTTATTTGCATTTTTGACACTTTTATGTGTTCAAATGTACAATAAATGAAAAGTATAGGCTTAAGATACAGTAATGCTTGGTCTGTATGGGAGCACCTTTGAGACTTCTAATTTGTTTTTGGTCTAATTACTACACCTTTTTATCTGCTGTGCTGGAACTGCATGAGATTGCCACTAGCCATCAGAACCGTGCACACTGCTGAGTCTGCTTTTCCTCTGTTTGGGACATCCCAACTAAAACCCCACTGACTTGTATGTAGGCCAGTGGTGGTTAGGGAATTGAACCACGAAATATTCAACATAGTTTTCTACGGGAGATTAGCAATGACCCCTACATTCCAGACCTGGAGGTTTTGTTCATCCTCCAGCCGACTGGAAAGATTGTTTACCTTTTCCTTTCAGATGTTATCTCTAGCGAGCTCAAACTCCTCTGCTTAAACCTCCAGAAGACTCTATCAACTCTTTGGATGGTATTCAGACATAACTTGCAAAAAAAACAAAACCAAACAAAAGCTTCTTTTGTTTTTTTATTGAAAAACTCATATATGATATAACACGATTCCAACAGTTATGTTGAAAATACCTACAGCAACAACATGAGACAGTATGGTTGGCAAGTGAACATGAATAAGGCACAATAACAAAAACCAGCATGTGAAGGGAATGAGTGAGACAAAGCTTGTGCAAAGATCCTTGTTAACTTTAAACATTAAAGATGATGCAAGAAAACGTACATGGATCAGGGTCAAAGCCTTACTTACAGGTTGTGAAAAAAACGCACTTAGTATAAGCTTGTTGTCTGGCGTTTGTTCATAAATATCTTAAATAGGGGGGCTAAAGGTTGAAACCTAATGTGTTGGGTTTGAGAAATTGTTCCCTGGAAAAGTTTATCTTGCACATAAACAGAGGGCTAAGGAACTAAGTCCACAGATTGCCAACAGGAATGTGCTCACGAGTTAACAGTCATACCAAAAATACACACAGTTTCCTGCTACCATTTCAGAAATAACTAATCTACCCAACCCAATTCCCATTAACATTACAACTCGTCGCGCAACACGTCACCTTTAGGTCTGACCACCCTGCCAATGTACAGGATGGAGTTACTCTTGTTGTCCTTCAACAGGAAAATGAAGGGGTGATCTACGTAGAAAAGTTGGGGGTTGCTCAGCTTTCCTGAGCTGTAGATGCTGGTGTCGAACGGGTTTCCTGTCACGTCCATCTCCATGGCTGACGCGTGGAAAACGTTGGACAGGTACAGGTCTTTCTTTCCGGAGATGTTGGACAGGTCAGCCTTGGTTTTGTCCACAGCCTCGGTCAGGCCAAGCTCAGCCAGGTGTTTCTAGAAAATACAGACATGTTGTTTTATAATTCAAATGGCTTCTGGTTGGTATTTAAACTATCTTCTCACAACCATCACATTTCCGACACTTACCTGCAGATTGTGGCTGACTTCCATTACGATTTTTGGCAGGGAAATGGCCACAGCCCTGTTTTCCAACTTGCTGATCCAGGAGTCCACCTGCTTCCTGGTCAGGAGTTTCTCTAGGCGTTCGAGGGGCTCCAGATAGTAGGGCATGATGAGGATCAAAGAGGCCTGCTTCTGACCCAGAGGCATGTTCAGCACAAAGACACGGTTCTCCTTGTCCTCGTGGAAGTCATACAGACCTGCAGAGAGCACAACAATCTTGCTTGCTCTCATTGGCAGACTTTTTAATGACATAATGAGTTAGGGTCCAAAGTATAGAGACATTGGAGAAAACCCACCTGTACGATGCATCATAGCAACTCCAATGGTGATTGATCGGGTAACCAGGAATGCACGCTTGTCCACCATGTCACCATTGAATGTCTCAAACCAGTGAGCTGTGGGACAAAACAAACACAGTTACTCATCTGCATTATGTATTTAAAAAATATCAATAAAAGTCAGTATTTATACTCACGCTTGAAGTACATAGCGTTGACAATCATGGCTCCATCTGGGTTCGGAACATCCTTGGTGACCTCAGCCAGTTTGCCGTCTGTGGACTTTGCTGCCCACTCGTTGATGGAGTTCACTGCACTCCTCTTGTCTCTGATGTTTATTTTTGAATGGTCGTAGTTGTAGTGCTTCTTGCTGTTTTTCACAAAGTCATCAGCAAACGAGACGGAGCTGGGAACATAGAGGCGGTTGTTGATCTTCCAGGTAGTGTTGCGTGTCTTGGCATCGCTCACCTGAAAAAGGTATCACATACATAATAGTGACAAAAGAGCAATAAATAAAAAGGAATGAGGGTGTCCTTTGAGTTTTGTGAAGAAATAAAGTCTAATATGTAGGATGTAATATTGTTCTTACGTCAGAGAGCAGTTCTGAAAGGCCTGCATGCAGATGCTCATCCTTCAGATTGTCAGCACTGAGGACCTTTTTGACCTGGGAGGCAGTGGAAGACTTGGCTCCAAGAGCCACCATCCCCAGGGAGGAGGCCACCACCATAGGAGAGATGAGGATGTTCTCTGTGCCTTTCTCCTTTGCCATTTTGTTGTAGAGGCTGAAAGGAAATCACAAGAAGAGATGATTTGCTTTTGTTTCTAGCCAGAAAAATATAACAACAAATGGATAGGCAAAACCAAGTGAAGCTAAGAGTTGATTTCAGACCTGAATGCCAGGTTGGCACTGTTATCAGCCAGCGTGGTGGCATGGCTGCTCAGCTTCTTGTCCTCTGCAGAGGCCACGAGGGCCAGCAAACAAAGGGCTACGACGTTTGTCATCCACATCCTATTTGTGTCCAAAAGCAGCTACAACAGCCTGTGAAAAAGGAACAGAAGACACAGCTAGGGTTAACATCTTTGAACCTGACTTTGTTTTGTAAAATCTAATAAATGTGTATGTTTGAGATGGAAGGCACACGTCAGAATGTTTCCTCAGGGGGAGTCTGTGGGATAAATGGTTCATCAACTGAGAAATTCTGAATGCCATGACATTGACTATATTTGAGATG